CAACTTATAGTAGATCAACACTTTAAAGGTTGAGGTATGTTGGACAATCATTTAGAAGCTCCTAATGAAAGAATCTGGAAGCTATGGCGAGATCATATGAATGTGGATTTGCTAGAGTTATCTGATCAGAGTGTTACCTGTTGTATTCTACATGAACCCAAAAAGTTCTATTTCTTTCCCATCGATGGGAGTAATGATGGTATTCAAAAAAGGCAGCTGTGGGCACACTTGTCTCATCTTAAAGGTATTGTAAGGGATAATCCCTAGATATTAGCTAGAGATTACAATGTTATAGTTCACCTTGCTGAAAGCTCAGATTACACGGAAGCACAAACTCTAAATTCTGGGATGAGAGAATTTCATAATTGCTCAACACAAGTAGCATTGTTTGAAAATGCTTACGTTGGACCTCAATTTACTTGGTCCAACCGTCAGTCTAAAAGTCATCTAGCAAGGAAAGTGGATAGAGTTTTGATAAATGAGTCATGGCTTTCGGCTTACCCACAGTCGTATGTGGAGTATTTAGGCCCTGAGGTTTCAAACCACTGTACAGCATTCATCAGGCTTAATATGGCAACCCAATCTCCTCCCAAGCCATTCAAGTTCTTTAATTATTGGAATAGGCATCTAGAGGTCAAGTTAATTGTGGAGAACTCCTGCCAAATTCCTATTGCAGGAAACCCTATGCCTATATTGCATAAATAATTGAAGAGATTAAAGTTGGAGCTTAGGAAGTTCAATCTTTCATGCTATGGTGATCTGTCTGGCAGGTTGCAAGCAAAAATAATGAAATTGGAATCGATTCAAAAAGCCATTCTGTCCACATCAGGTTTAATCTCTTCATCTTTAGTGAAGGAAGAAAGAAGAATATATGAAGATCTTACAGAATTGTTGAAAGCTGAGGAGAGTTATTTTAGACAAAAATCTAGAATCAGATGTTTGCAGGAATGAGACCAAAACACGAGGTTCTTTTACAAGATGGTAACAGCTAACCAGAAGAAGAAAAGTATTAGAGTATCAGTCAATGTAGAGGGGAATACGTTGGATTCATTTTCCTAGATTTCATAAGAAGCAATCCCGTATTTTCAAAAGCTAATTGGAAAAGTGGATCATAATGTCACAGGCTGCACACAGGAATTATTGACTGATCTATTACAGGGAGACTTGTCCAATGAAGCACAAGATATGATGATTAAACCAGTAACCAAGGAGGTGATAAAGGAGACAATGTTTTCACTCAATAGTGAGAAATCACCAAGGCCTAATGGCTTTACAGCCAATATTTTAAAAAAGACTTGGAATATGTTTGGAGAGGATGTCTCTAATGCTATTGTGCATTTTTTTTCAAACAGGGAATATGTTGCCTGCGTTTAATTCAACAATCATTGCACTGGTGCCTAAGTGCACAAATCCCAGTAACATCAAAAAATATAGGCCAATCTCTTGTTGCACCACAGTTTACAAATGCATCATAAGGACATCGGTGAAGAGGTTTAAGGAATTTCTGCCAGGGATCATTGCTACAGTCAAAGTGCAGTCATAAAGGGGAGAAGTATCACTGATAATGTCCTTATGGCTCAAGACATGGTTCGAGGGTATGGTCAATCTACCTTATCTCCGAGCTGTGCAATCAAGATAGGTCTTCAAAAGGCATTTGATTTAGTGGACTGGGCTTTATTTATTCTGTCTTGAAACAATAAAAGTGCCAGATCAATTCATTAGATAGATAAAGAGCTGTATTACAACCCCTTTATTGTCTGTATCCTTAATTGATTTGGCAATCAATGTTTTATTACGATTGCTTGATGCAGCTGCCAAACAAGGAGTCTTTGCTTTCCATCCGAAGTGCCAGAAAATAAGTTTGACACGTTTATGATTTTTGCAAAGGGCACTTGATTCTGTGTTGGGAAAAAAAAGGTGGTGGAAATTGTCTACACCATTTATGGCCTGCAGCTGAATTGTGGGAAAAGTGAACTATATCACATAGGGATTAGCAGAGATGAACAAAACGCGATCTAGCACACTACAAGATTTCAGATTGGTGTTCTGCCAGTTAGATACTTAGGCGTTCCTTTGGTCACTAGAAGACTTACAAAAAGAGATTGTTTGCCTTTATTAGAGTAGATCACATCAAGGATCAAAAGCTAGGCTGGTCGGCACTTACCATATACGGGTAGACTGCAATTAATTCAGTCTGTGTTGTTTAATGTCCAAAACTACTGGTGCAAACATTTTATTCTTCCCAAGCATGCCCTAAAAAAAATAAACCAATTATGTTTAGCTTTTTTTGAAATGAAGAGAAGGAACAACATCAAGTAAGTTGGCAGGCAATATGTTTTCCAAAATCTGAAGGACTAGGAGTCAAGAACATAGTTTGCTGAGCTTGTATTATGAAGAATCATTGATCTATATTTACTAAAGCAGGGTAAATATAGATAGCACGGTTAGAAGCTTATGTGTCGAAAGTACAAAGCATTTGGCAAGTGACAGGCCAACAAAATAGTAGCTGGAGTCGAAGGAAATTACTTCAACTAATACAAATTGCCCATCAATTCATTAACAAGGAGAATGGTTTTGCGGTATGGACATTTTCATATGGTTGCTATTAAACTATAATGGTGTGGAATAGGATTAGGCCTAAGCAGGAAAGGTCGGATGGCATAGGCTTATATGGTTCAAATTTCATGTTCCAAAGCATTCATTGATAGCTTGGATGGTCATCTTGAACAGACTCCCAATGAAGGATAGACTAAGGTCTTGAGGAATGGAGATAGACAACAGGTGTTGCTTGTGTCAAAGAGCGAATGAATCTAAAGATCATATGTAATTCGACTGTGCTTACACTAAAGAAGTTTGGCATATGGTACTCCAGTTATGCAGGATTCACAAAAGAACAGGGAATTGGGAAGTTGAGCTAAGGTGGGCAATGAACAGGCTAAAGGGAAAAGCTTTGATTTCCATCATATTATGTATAGCTTTGAATGCTTGCAATTTTTTGCTATGGGGGGAAAGAAATCAACAGCTGTTCAAGCATATAGAAGAGACAACAAGACAGTTGGTGGGAAGGATCAAGGAAGTTGTCAGATACAAGTTACATGATTTAAGGCAAATTACAATAGATATAGTGAACAAGCAATTGTGTGATGGCTGGAAGCTTTCTATAGTTATTCTAGAATAAGCTGCTAACATAATATCATTGTTTTGTAAACTGGAATAGTAGTGCTGCAGCAAATTTTTGTAAGCTTTGGGTAAATAAAATTCAACTTAACTAAATTTTATTGCACAATTAATATACTAATTGCAAATAATCACACCTTACCAGATATATCAAATGAAGAAGTATATATATGCACAAACCATAAGAAATTACTAATTACAAACATAAGACATTAATTATATCTTACAGGGAAGCCAAAAACTTATTTAGGTTACAGTACTTGATAGATCACTTGGCTTCACTTCACAGCACCCTGCCTCCAGTCTGCAAATTAAGCAAAAGAAACATTGCACTCACTGATGTACATAAGAAAGAACTGAAAATATAGCTTGTAGCACTGCAAGTAGGAGCAAGACAAGTGCAGTGAGAAAGGAAATGGGCGAATAGGGCGAGTTGAAATAATCTTTCTTCAATGATGCGTTCCATTTGTTTCACATCTTGTGGCAATATTGCTTGTTCACGTTAATTACCAATTATCTTCTCATAGTAGAAGTCATTTGACGAGTAAAGTCGAGAATTTTGTTAAACGTTTGGGGCAACTGCTTCATCAAATTATCAATAATTCCATGTTTGCGTCTATTTGTATGTCCTTGCCTCAGTTGATGAGCTTATCCATGAACTCCACGTAATCAAAAGCGTACGTAAGTTGGTTCCGAACTTGGGACGAATGGTTTATAGGCCAAGATACGCTCTGTATTATCGTCAAGGTTGGAATCTTCAGTTTCGCATCTTTTGTAAAGTCTACATCGAACAAGCTTTTAACTTGCTCCTTCTCCCCGTTCTTAATATTCCCCTCCTTACCTATCTTTACGAAGTTGATTCCTGCCTCTTCCAGCTGTGTTGCACAGCGTATGAATTTCCATGAGCCTTTTTTCTCCAGCTCTGTTGCACTCCACAGCGTTTGAGTCACGTGAATATTAATCCCTTTGCTTTTGCTTTTGCTTCTGCTTCTGCTGCTTTAATGAAAGTCTTGAGCTGTTCTTTTGCGTTTGAATAAGTATTGCTTCTGCTTTTGCTTTTAATTTTGGATAACCCAAGAATGTCAAGAGAAACTCATTTGGCAAAGGAGAACGGAGTAGGAAAAGAATCCTAATTTTTTGGAAGAGGATTAAAGGAGTTTTTTTTTTTTTTTTCCTTTCAATTGTGAATTTTTGGAAGATTTTTTATTTTGTTGGTATGACTTGTCATTTATTTATGATGATGTGGATTACATTTGTACAAAGTAATTTTTTTTGAGAATTAAATTTAAAATTACTCTAGTTTGGGAAATAAGATTAAAGAGCACCTGCACATATATAGGAAAAAACTGTTCAAACTTTCCTAAGCTATTTTTTTTTTTTAATGAAATTGTAAGTATAAAAGAGTTATAATTATAAATAGTCTATGAAATTGATACTAAAATAATATAGTGACTAAGTCTTCAACAACTTTCAAATGTGCTTTGTCCAAAATTATTTGATAACACCCAAATATCTTTTGCCACTTTAATAAAAATCTTTCAACATTGAGAGATGTGTACAATTGGAAGAAAATTCGCCAATATAACTTGAATTGTCCAAAAACATAAATAATTTGGTTAAAGTCAATACTAACAATTTCAAGGGAAAAACCTATGAAAACGATTGATAGCAATAAGATTTGGGTTGAAAGATAAAAGGGAGTTACATATTCATCAATCCCTTGAGAAGATATCAGAGTGATCATGGCGACAGAAAGCGCGGTAATTAAAACATGTCATTTTTGGCACACAAGTTAAACAAATTCTATTGTTAGAAAACCCAGAGAATAAGCATTAATCCATCGAAGCAATTACACAATTAATTAATACACGTACAAACAGCTATCTAATTAATACACGTACATGGCTGTTGGCAGCACTCAAGTATTTATTTTATTATATGTAATAGCTCATTAACATGAGCTTTTAGTAGTTCCCCTGCCTCCCATCAACCATGGGAACTTAAGAAAACTTAGACTTACTGATGTACATAAGAAAGAACCGAAAATAAAGTTTGTATCGCGGTAAATAGGAGTAAGACAACCGCAGCAAGGAAGGAAATAAGCGACCAGGGCGAGTTAAAATAATCTCTCTTCAATGTTGCCTTCCATTTGTTCCATTTTCTCTGGCAATGCTCGTTCACCTTACCAAATATCTCCGCATAGTAGAAGTCATCGGACGAGTAAATGTTGTTGCGAAGTTTGTTAACCATTTGGGCAACTGCTTCATCATCCCCTAACCAATTATCAACAACTCCACAGTTACAGAGTAATTGCACATCCTTGCCTGTGTTGATGAGGTTATCCATGAACGTCACATAATCACTAACGTAAGTTGGTTCCGAACTTGGGATGGATTGTTCGTAGGCCATTAAATTTCGCAAGATACGCTCCGTATTATCGTCAACGTGGAAGGTGGGAATCTTCAGTACTTTTGTATCATCTGTAAATTCTATATCGAACAAGCTCTCTACCCCTGATTTATTCTTCTTATCTTGCACCTGCTCACCAAAGAACTTGATTCCTGCCTCTTCCAGCTCTGTTGCACTGCGTATGAATTTCCATGAGCGTTGGGATTTTGGTTCTTTTGCTTCTGCTTTTCGTTTAAAATCAAAGTGGCGTTTTCTTCCTTGAGCTGAAGGAAGGCAAGTAGCATGTACCAAGCCCAGAAGATGCTTGAAATCATTCGGGTTTCTGCCTGTGGGATAGTACTTTTCAGACCACATCGCTGGTCGTCGCGCCTCTTTTCGGAAAAGAGAAAGAGCTAAACGAGCGAACGTATCATCTTCAACCTCTGGCGTTATTATGCTAGCATCTTCATCTTCACCCTCTGACGTTATTATGCGATCATCTTCACCTTCTGACGTTGTTATGCGAGCATCTTCATCTTCACCCTCTGACGTTATTATGCAAGCATCTTCATCTTCACCCTCTGACATAATTATGCGTATTATGCAAGCATCTTCATCTTCACCCTCTGACGTTGTTATGCAAGCATCTTCATCTTCACCCTCTGACGTTATTATGCGATCTAGATGGCAAAGCACAAAGAAAGGAAGCTGATTTTCGAACAGTAACAAATCATACCGAATGTCAGTTTGAATCCGTCCAAGTTGGTAAAAATTTTCTTTTGGGTACTTCCCCCGTATTAGCGAAACAATAAAAAATCCATCACGGACCAGCTTGTCTACTTGAACATAAGTGCCACGGTAATCTTGGTAGCATTTGTTAACTCGTTCTGCTATTGATTTCATGGCCTCTTCAAATTCGCTGCGATCACGCTTGGTTTCCTTAATGAAGCTACTGAAGAAATTCTCTTTGACAACTTCCATTGCACGTGTGCGTTCCTCATAACGACCATAGGGACCGATTGAAACCACATTTGGTTTATAGGCTTCTGGATTTACTTCACGTAATCGAGGAGGCACTCTACTAATAGTCCAACTATTTGGGTCTATCTTCTGTTAAAAAGGTCGCACACGCAGTGATTTTTAATCAGCAATCATTTTATAAAATGCATTTTTCACGATTTGAAATTGTTAAAATAATTGCATTGAAATTTAAGTAAACAACACTTTTTTTCTCGAAAATAAATTATATAAGGAAGCTTCTATTCTTTATTATTATTTATACCCTAATTTTTTATTACAAAAGTATTCTTATATATAATTACTTAACCTCTGACAAAGTACTTTTCAATCTCACACCCATTTCTACTCATTTTTATTCTTCATCTTATTTCCTACACTTTTTTCTTTTCGTTTTTCTTTTTATTCATATTTAAACATCCATTTCAACTAAAGATTTTTTCAAAATTAGTTATATTTCAAATTTTAATTTGATTATATAATTGAGCTTTAATACAAAGGATGAATTTTGGATCCAAGAGATAGAAGCCCAAATTTTAATTTTGCTTTTTGTTTTAGATTTCGACTTTAATTTTGTTTTTAGTTTTAATTTGGTCATGAAAAAAAAAAAAAAGTTAGAAAAGCCAAAACAGAAAAAGTGGGATTCTTTGTGAAGGCCTTGATTTTTTTTAAGATTTTGAATTAATGACTGAGACATCCTCGGGAAGAAATCTAGAGTTAAACCAAGATCGAATCTGTCAAAAGCAAACAATCGGCAGAAAATCAAGCAAAACAGAGAGTCACGAGCAAAGGCCAGGGATAGAAATCAATCGAAGAAGCAATTCAAGCCAGAAGCAAGAATCAACAAAAAATAAGCATTCAAACCAACCAGCAATTCAAAAGAAGCAGACAAGCACATTCAGGCAATATAGCCAACAGAAGCAGACCAAGACAAGCAAAATCAAGTCTGCAAATCAGGCATCAAGCAACAAGCAAGAAGCAATAATCAAGAGCAATTCGACGCAAAGAGAAATTTGGCATTCAAGTTTGATTTTCTAGTCAACAGCAATTTAACAAAGGCAACATAGAGTCAACAAGCAATTCTACGGAGAAGCCTGTACCCAGAAGCAAAGAATTGAATCAAGTCGACCCAGAACCGAACCCATCCACAAACCGAGCAGCAAATCATCAACAAGCCGAAATAGAATCGGCACCGAAACAGAGTCAATACATACAACCTCAAAGATAAAAAAATTTCAGCAACAACAAACAGCTCCAGCAATTATTATCTAGAATATTTAAAAAGTGTATAACCACACTGAAAAAAAAATGAGATTAAAAGATTGAGATTTAGAGTTTAAGGTTTACAAATTTCGAATTTACATTTCTAAAATTTGTAAAAACATTTAAATTTGTATTTTTAAAAACTTTTAAAAGCTTTTGCTTATTGAAATGTAAATCCAAAATTAACGATTTCACCCAAAAGTAATTCAATATTAGATTTCAATTTAATCAACATTTTCTCAAAGTCAAACAAAATTACATGTCATTTATCTCTAAATTGAAGTTTAGTGGCTTGATTACCTTCAACACTTATGATTTTAGAGTTAAGATTAATGTTTTTAGGATGACTTTTAAGGTTAAGGTTTGAAGGTTTAAGTTGAATAAAAATAGAAAAGGAAATATAAAAATGGCTGTTAGGGGTATTAAGGGAAAATAAAAAATATGGTTAGTTGTGTAATTAAACAAAAAAATTTAAATTTGAAAAGTAAAAGGTAATTGAATTTACAGAATACTTATGAGATATGAATAAAAGCTCCCATCATATAATTTATTGTCTAAATAATCATATAAGAATATCAAAATTTAAGGAATATGTTAAAATTTGTGTAAGGAAGATAATATAATTATTTTACTTTTTTTAATTAAGCGCTCATAATTAGTATTCAAATAAACTTTTAATTCAAATAAAATATTGATTTAAACTAAAATTTTATTTGATGCGAATTAAATATTAAAAAGTATATTTTTTTTGGTTTGGGGGAAAAAATATCCCTTACAAAGAGGAAAGAAGAGAAGATCTTAACTTGAAACTAGGTCTTTTACATCTTTATAAAATTTTTTTAGCCACTAAATTAAGAGTTGGACTTAAAAAATGTATTTTGATAAAATAAAGATCGAAGATATAAAACTTCCTTAAATAAAGTGATAAAATTCATAAAGTTTTTTTGTTATTTTAACTGTTAAAAAGCAAAAACAAAAAAAGAAAAAAATAAACACAAAACAAAAGGTAAGTATAAATAATATTATATTATAGGATACATGGTTACATAAACATTTAGGGGGATAATCTATTTATTTGAATGTAAAACAATTCTTATTTTATGTTATTTATCAATTGAATAAATTCATTTAAAATAATTATTAGTTATCAAAATCTTTATTATATTTTAAATCAAGTATTGATTTAATTTTATAATTTACAAATTAAAGAATCTGAAAAATAAATATTTTAAATTTGATAAAAATGAAGAATAAAATTCAAAATTAAATCACGAAATAAAATTTTAAAACTTCAAAATATCAAAAAGATTCTTTTTTCTTAATAAATTTCCTCATAATTTCTTTTATTTTTTAAACTTCTTTAAAATTTAAAATCATAATATCACATACTATGCATTTAAAATTGAAATATATTTATCGATTTAAATAAAATAAAATTTATCTCAAAACTCACTCTTTTAAAATTATAAAAAAATATAAATTATAAATTACAAAAAATATAATAAAAAATCTTGTGTATCGTGGGTTCAAAAAGTTAGTATAGTTATATACCGTACAAAGCCAATAAGAACCCAGCATCAGCCACAATCTCTTATAACAACCCAGAGACAATAGACCCAGTAGACATGGTCGAAATGACCAATAGGCAAGAAAGAATACAAGAAACCACAATTAAGCAACACGGACACAATACCAAACAGGAAATCAACAACTTATCGGAAACAGGAAACAAGAAACATAGAAACACACAATCGGAAAAAAAAAAAAAACAAAACACAATTAGATCTTGATCTCCTGCGTAAAAAAAGAAAAGGAAAAAAAAAGGCATATATTTAATTGAAAAAGGCAAAGCTAACCACGAAATTCATATATATATATATATATATATATAGCAACGCTTTTCAATTACCTCTGGAGAAAACACCTCTTTCGGTGCCTTCTTATAATCGCCTTCTTCCATCTTTACTGGAATGCTGATGTCACCATATGTAGCTATTACCTGCACAGAAACACGGGACATACACTACATTATTATGAATTAATTGAAGAGAAATATAATACCACCTCTTGAAGAATGAATTGTTATTTTACTGAGAAACGAATCAATGATAATTTGTCAAAGTGGAAAGCAGAATCGTGCCTGTGCAGCTGTGAAAATTGGTGTTGATTGATGTAACTGATCCCCTATAGATATTGGACTGGGCGACCAATACCCAAGCTATGTATATATAATAATTACACGTCTTCGCATTTCGTGATTACTGTGTTGCTCAGATTCACGTGATGTACTATTATCTATTATGACATAACAACTACCCTTACAGAACAGATAACACAACTAACACATTTTCTACAGTCGTATATCTAAATGGTAATTACACATCTTCACATTTCATGACTACCGTAATGCTCGGAATCACGTGATGTACTATTGTCAGTAATGACACAACAACTACCTTTAAAGAAAAGGTGACAAAATTTTTTGTTTTAAATAATTTTTGATAATTTTAAACATAATCATTGTAAACACCATTTTTTTATATTATTATTATTTATTTAATTTTTTTCCTTTTTTTTTTCTCTTTTTCTTCTTCTCTTTCTTTCCTTCCCGTTTCTTCTCTTTCTTTTCTTCCCGTTTCTGCATTTGTCTTCTTCTTCCTTTCTTTTTCCTTTTTCTTCATCCTTATCCGATTCAAATCTAGTGCATTAGATGCACGATCCCTAAAGTCCAAAATCACTGCCGCTAATCGTCAACGGCCGACCGACAAGCCGCCAATCACGACCGGCGAGCTTGATTTTTTAGTTGAAAAATGAGATTCGAATCCCAGAAGATCTGGGATTTGAATCCCAACAAGCTCTATAAATAGAGCTTGTTATTTGCAAATGGAGGGGGAGAACCGGAAAAAGAACGGCAAAGAAAAAAGAAACAGAGAGTTTCTGCAAAAAAAAAAAATACAAAAAAAATCAACACAGTCCTCCTCGTAGGGAGGAACCCAGCGCCAAGCTTCCTGCACGAAGAAGAAAAAGAAAGGTCAGCTTCAACAAAAAAAAAAGGGAAAGAACACAAAAAAAAATTTTCACCGAAACTTCGCCAGCAGATCTAGGAATTTTGAGACTCTTTCTAGTGAAAAGGAGGCCAGATCTGCGTTCAGGGGTTCGAGAAGAGTTTGTGGGAGAATTTTGGGATTTTTCGACCACCGGAGACGGCGGTCGGTGACAGGCGAACGGCGGCGGTCGGCCACGAGTGGCTGAGGAAGAATGCGAAAAAAAAAAAGAGAACGTTTTTTTTCTTCCTGGAATGAAAAACTGACGAAAAAAAAATTTTAACCTTTTATATAAACTGCCAAAATCAAAACGACGTCGTTTCATTAAAGGCCCAAAACGACGTCGTTTTAAGTCTGAGGATCCGCGCTTCAACCTGCGACCCGACCCGGGGTCCGTGCACCCGACTCTCGACCCGCTTCCTTCATCAGCTCGACCGGTCTGAATGGACCGGAACCGAACCGCCCAAACCAAACCGAACCGGTACCGAACCGCTGAACTAACCAGACCGAACCGAACGGTCTGACCGAACCATACGTTGACTGGACCGTTGACCGGTCCGGTTCAGGCAAAAAAAAATTTTGAATTTTTCTTATTTTTTATATATTATTTTATTAATATTTATGCATATTAAAATATCTATATTTGTTAGACTAATTGATGAAATTGTGGTTAAATTTTTTTTTTATAATTATGTTAATAAACTTTAAAAATAATAATATAAAAATAAAATTTAATAATAATACTAACTAATAAAAAATAAGAGAAAAGGAAATTTTTATCCGACGATGAGATTTAAATGTATTCCGAGTAGTGATGCCTACGAAATCTTTAGGTGAGAAGATTTTTTTTAAGTACTACCAGCGTATTGGAGTATTTATAAAAAATTTTCAATACAGTAAAGATTTTTTTAAAATAATAAATAAAAATTGATTAATAAATTAAAAATATAAGTAATAAAAATATGAAGAAAATAAATTTAATCTAATGATGGGATTCTAAAAGTATTTCGAGTAGAGATGTTTTAAGAAATCTTTAGGTGAGAAGATTTTTTATAAAATATTACCAGCGTATTAAAATATTTATAGAAAATCTTCAATATAATTAAATTCATTTTTCTTCAAAGTTATTAATAAAATATTTAATAAAATTTTTTGAATGAGAATAAAATGTGTACATAAACATGAAAATAGTTCACATGGCATGCATGACATAATTTCTTACGAAAAGTAAATTTAGACCTCTGATGATGAGATTCTAAGGTATTCCGAGAAGCGATGCCTAAGAAATCTTTAAGTGAGAAAAAGTTCTTCTAATGTTACCAACGTACTGGAACATTTTAAGAATTATTTCAATAAAAAGATTTTAATTTATTTTTTTCGAGAATAATTTTTTTCAACATAACATTTTCTTATGAAAAATAAATTCGAGCCTCCAAAGATGAGATTCTAAAAGTATTCCGAGTAGAGATGCTTTAAGAAATCTCTAGGTGAGAAAGAGTTCTTTTAATGTTACCAACGTACTAGAATATTTTAAGAATTATTTCAATAAAAAGGTTTTAATTTATTTTTCTCGAGAATAAATTTTTTTAATAAATAAAAAATCAAAGAAATTATTTTTCGAACACCGAAAATTAAACTATTTTTATCAAAATTAAAGGATAACATGTTGTTAATTGGTACCGTTTTTAACGGGCGCTGTGGAGGTGCTAATCATTCCCCACACGTAACCGACTCTCAAACTCAGACTGTTGCGTAGACCCTAAAATTATCTTTTTAATAAATTTTAATTAATTTTAAGATTTCATTAAAAAGATATGTTTTAATAGGTAGTCAATCGCACCTAACCAAAAAAGATTGATGGCGATTTTGTTATTTTTTTTTGTTTCCAAATTCGTCGGACGGACACAAAACCATTTCGACAATCATGTTTAATTTTGAAATGAAATAAATAAGACCAACCGATTGCTCCATCAGTTGTTAAGCAAAAACAATCAATTGTTCTAACAACTGCTCATCAACAAATAGTATCAATTGTCCTAACGTCGTGCATCTTCTTCATCGTAATGCTGATGTCATCATCTGTAGCCATTACCTGCACAAAAACATGAGATATACACTACATTATTATGAATTAATTGAAGAGAAAGATAATACTACTTCTTGAAGAATGAATTGTTATTCTACTAAGAAAAGCATGAATGATAATTTCTTTTAAGATAAGTGGAAAGCAGAATGGTGCCTGTGCAGTTGTGAAATTTGGTGTTGATTGATGTTCAATATTGGACTGGGCGACCCATACCCAAGCTATGTATACATAATAATTACACATATTATCGACTATGACATAACAAAATTTTTTGTTTTAAATAATTTTTGATAATTTTAAACATCGTCATATTTAATTTTGAAATGAAATAAATAAGAGCAATCGATTGCTCCCTTCAGTTGTTAAGCAAAAGCAATCAATTGTCCTGCTCATCAACAAATAGTATCAATTTTTACTTTCGAGTGATTTTTTTGCAAAATACATACATGAGAAGTGGATTGCATTTTAAGGTAACCAATTTGTTTTGAGGGGCAATCGACCACTCGTCAGGTAACAGTTCAATGCTCGGGTTATTCATACATTTTGTTTGAACTTTTGTCAAGAGCAGTCGAATATTCGAAAAGATAATGGACTTCTCTGATTAAAATTTACATTTTGCGTGAAAATTTGTCTAAAACAATCAAATGCTCTAAGGAAAAAGTCGAATGCTTGTCATTATTTTATATTTTATTGAGAATTTGTTTAAAGCAATTGAATATCATTATTAGGTATCGCCATTATTGAAAATTAAAAAAAGTCCGCTCGACATGATGTTTCATTCCAAAATAATGATCCTTCTCTCTCTCTCTCTCTCTCTCTCTCTCTCTCTCTCTCTCTCTCTCTCTCTCTCTCTCTCTCTCTCTCTCTCTCTCTCTCTCTCATTACATATATATATATATATATATATATACACACGCGTGTATATATATATACATCAATTCATAAAAAATTATTTCAAACATTGTTTGAGTCTTATAAATAATTTCATTAACATATATTGTGCCTAACTTTTTATCATAATATTTAATTTTAAGAATTTATTCATTTATACAAAAAATATGAAATTATTACTAATCACTTTTATATAAATGTGATTGGTATAATCTACCATTTTAAAAATTATCCTAAACTTAAACTAAAAATCCCTAAAAAAATAAATTTTAATTTACATTAATAGAATTAAATTTAAGAATTCATTATATGTAAAAAAGATTTTAGTACTCTATTGCGCCTAAAATAAATATCAAATTAATCACATATTATCTTATCTAAAGCTTAATCAAAGATAGTTTTTATTCCTTATTTTTATTAATTTTGATATTTAAATATTAAAAAAAAATTTTAAGCTTTCACTAAAAAATTTTTTTTTTCACCTCAAAAATATTTAAAATAAATTTGTTATTCACTGAGAGATTTCATCGTTGGATTCATTAAATATCTTATGAAAAATCACATCCTTTTATTTATTTACAAATATTGTTACACAGATTCTATCAAGATATCATGCAATAATACTATAATTAAAACATGTAAAATAAATCATGCAAATGTAATAAATCACACCAAAATCATGCAAAGATCATAATAGAAATATCATGTAATAAATCATAAATCATGTAAAAAATACAAGAACATCATGCAAATATTATTAATCATGCAAATAATAAATCATACAAGAACATCATACAAATATTATAAATCATGCAAATAATAAATCATACAAGAACATTATGCAAGTGTATTAGATCATGCAAATGGATTAATAATCATAAAAAAACAACTGAAAAACTCAACAAATCCTAGAAACTAGCCGAGAAACCTAGATTTTGACATAAAAACATTCAAACAATGCAGAAAAATTCAAACTTTTCTCAAAAACCCATATTCCGGCCACCATGCAAACCACTAACCATTATGAAATTCAACCAAAAAACTTAAACACATCAAAAAATTCAAGCCTAAACTCAGAAAAATTTCAAAAAAACAAGAAACTCAACCCAAATTCAAAAACAATCCTAGAAATTTAAACAAACCCAGAATTCCCAAAAAAAAAAAAAAGAAAAACCCAAAATCTAAGAACAAATCAAAACCTATAAATAAAAACCAAATTCAAGAAAAATTCCAGAATAAAAAATCCAAACTCAAAATAATTTCTAGAAACGACCAAAAAATTGAACCAGAACTTAGAATCAAAAATCAAAACCCACAAGAATTTTTTTATGCTCTAATTGCTGGAATTTTCTAACTTTTTGCTTAATTTCCGTTTGTTTATTGTTTCATGTTTTTGATTAAAGATTAGAGTTCTTTATATAAGGATTAAAACCCTTTTAATTTGAAAAACTTTAAGTCCTATCGAATCTAGGATTTCACTTGAGATCTTATTCCCTTTGCAATCTTTCCTTTTTCAATGCTTAAGGACCAAGAATTTCTATAAGCAAACAACTATTAAATTTCAAAATCTAAAACCAAGGGCTGGTGAATCTGCGAATTTCCATTTGCAAACAATCCCACTTTCTTTATGGCTTTTTTGACTTTTTTTTTTTACTTTGTTGACTTTGACAAAACTAAAATTAGACTAAAACTAAAAATAACATTTATTTTTGGGCTTTCAATTTTTGCACCTAAAATTCAATTTCATCAATTGAGGCCCAATTAAAACTTGAAGCCAATTTTGATCTTGAAAAATTTTTTAAACAAAATAAGATGTCTACAATTACCTTTTTTTGTACATTTTTTTGTAAAACAAGAAGTGTACAAAAGATAAAAGACATCCATTTTTTTCAGGTTAAAAAAAATCAAAAAGAAAAATCATAGAAGGTCCCCCTTAATAACGGTTTTGAAACTTTCGAAAATTGAAAAGCTCTTCTTCAATAGAGGCTTTGAAACTTTTAAAAAATAAAATGCTTCACCCTATCAAGGCTTGAAACTTTCAAAAAGTAAAATGTTTCCCCACTGAAAGCTTTGAAACTTCTGAAAAATAAAATGAGATACCTGGGATTTTCAAGATCATGCTCTAAGGTATTATAGATTATTATCATCTTTGAAAAAAAAACCCCTCCTTAACAGAGGCATTAAAATTTTAAAATAAAAAATTCATACCTTAAAATGATTCCTTTGATCTCATCCAATTCAGCATTGACTATATTCCAATGTCTATTTTCAAAATTATTTCAACATCTACTTTTTCCTTTCTTTCCAAGCATATGCAATAAATGCATACAATGAATGAAAAAAATTTTCAAAATTTCCAAATTCAATTTCAAAACTCAAACTTTAATTTTTCCTTTTTTTTCAAATATGCATGATGCATAGAATGAATGAATATAATGAATGCCATGTTCTCAACTTGATACAATCAAAATGTAATGGATGCAATGAATGCAATGCATGAAATGCAAAAATCAATGTCATCTATCTCTAATTGGGATAAAGGGTTCTCAAAACTCTTTTTTATGTGTTCTCTTCTATTCAACTTCCCATTATGTTCTTTATCTTCTTTAGAACTAGCCAACAAATATATCAACCGACTTATGACCCAAAATTTCCTTTCATTTGATCTCAACATTTGGATTTTTTTTTTCATTTGTAAGTCACAAGGATGCACATCATTTTAAACTTTTTTTTATCACTCACATTTCATTTTTTATCTGCCCTAATCACTTTTAATTTTTTTGAAATAATGCAAAAATCATTCATATTAATCATTTATTTATTCATCATCATTCTAGTTTGATGACAAATGGAATCCATCACATTTCCTTAAGGAATAAATGGTGAAGAACAAGAAAAAAAATTAAAGAAAAGATATTCATTATAAAAACAAGTTTGGCAAAAAATAAACAAGCAAAGAAATCATTATATTACCAAGTGCTTGGAAGGTTCAAAACATCTAAAATAACAAACATTCAGACAATTCTAAACAAATTAATTCTAAATTTTTTTTCAAAAACTCATTCCATTAATATTCTTGATCTTTAAGCTCTTCAATCCAGACATTATCCATACCCCATGAGATCCTCCATTGAAGCTATTTTTTAAATCTTCATTTCAAATATATCCCTTTTTACTTATATCAACCATTCAGATTTTCAATTTAATCAATATTTTACCAAAATAAAAAAAAATTTACATGCCATTTATCTCTAAATTGAAGTTTAATGGCTTGATTAACTTCAAAGCTTGTGATTTTAGAGTTTGGATTAAAGTTTTTAGGATGGTTTTTAGGGTTAGGGTTTGAAGGTTATGGTTGAAGAAAAATGGAAAAGGAAATGGAAAAATGGGTGTAAGGGTATTTAGGAAAAATTAGAAATGTGGTTAAGGGTGTAATTAGTAAAAAAAAAAAACATTAGACTTTAGATTTGGAGTATAAAAAGTAATTGAATGTAGAGAATAATTTTTGAGGTAAGAATAAAAGCACCCATCATATAATTTCTTATCTAAATAATCATATAAGAATATCAAATTTCAAATACTATCTTCCTAATTTACATAAAATTTGGTAACACTTTTAGTTTTAAACTTCAGTATTTTTGGAATATGTTAAAACAAGAAAATAATTATTTTACTTTTTTTAAGTAAGCTCTTATAATTTGTATTCAAAAATTTTTTTACTTTTTATTTGTACTCAAATAAAATTTTATTTCAAATGAAAGATTGATTTATATTAAAATTTTATTTGGATGCAAATTAAATATTAAAAATATATTTTGATACAATAAAGATATAAAAACTTCCTTAAAATAAAGTGATAAAATTTATAAAATTTTTTGTTGTTCTAACTTAAAAAAAAAAAGATAATCACAAAGCAAAGGGCAATAATATATAATATTATATTACAAAATATATAATTACAATAAAATTTGTTTACATGAAGTGGATATTTTATTTATTTGACCCGTAATATGGTTTTTATTTTTATGTTATTAATCAATTAAATAAATTCATTTAAAATAATTATTAGTTATCTAAATCTCTATTATATTTTAAATCAAGTATTGATTTAATTTTATAATTCACAAAATAAAGAATCTGAAAAGTTAGACATTTTAAATTTGATAAAAGTGAACAATCAAATTCAAAATTAAATCACGAAATAAAATTTTCAAACTTTAAAATCTCATAAAGACAGTTTTTTCTTAATAAATTTCTTCATAATTTTTATATTTGTTAAACTTCTTCAAAATTTAAAATCACAATATCACTTACTATTTTTTTAATTTGAAAGATATTTATTGATTTGAATTAAATAAAATTTATTTCAAAACTCACTATTTTCAAATTATAGAAAAAATAAAAAATCTTGTACATCGGTTAAAAAAGCTCGCATAGAATAAGAACCCAGCATCAGCCCACAATCACTTATCACAACCCAGAGACAATAGACCCAGTAGACATAGTCGAAATAACCAACAGGCAAGAAAGAATACGAGAAACCACAACTAAGCAACACAAAGATGCAATACCGAACAACACAATCAACAACAAGTGATTGGAAACAAGAAACCCAGAAACACACAATCGCCCACAATTAGATCTTGATTTCCTACGTACGAGAAAAAAAAAAAGATAGTATATTTCTCCGATGTCGTGTATTAAATTGAAAACGGCAAAGCTAACCACGCAATTCATATACATACGGCAGGGCTTTTCAATTACCTCTCTGAAAAATTGACTAGTCTCTGTCGAACATGGCACAAACTCCATCTTGTTCATTGTAATGCTGATGTCACCACCTATTACCTGGACAAAAGCATGGGATATACACTACATTATTATGATTTAACTGAAGAGAAAGATTATACTACCTCTTGAAGAATGAATTGTACTTCTACTAAGAAAAGAAAGAATGATAATTTTGTTTAAGATTTACCAGCCAAAGTGGAAAGCAGAATCACGCCTGTGCTTGTGAAATTTGGTGGTGATAAAAGAGTGATAAATCTGATCACCTAAAAGCATTGGAGTGGGCGACCCATACCCAGGTTATGTACAATGGACACATGAATGAATGACATCAGATATATTACTTGACATTTTCAATAATTGTACGTTTATGATAATTAGAATCATCACTTTCCATGACTATCGCGTAGCTCAAATTCACTTTCCATGTCATTTTTATTTCATGAATTTAAAATAATTAGACTCAAATAAATAATTAGACAAGGACAGAACTGCTACCTTGAGAGAAAAAGACAACAATTTTCTGTTTTGAAGATGATATATATTTATTAGGATTGACTTAAATTTTATAAAAAAATTAAATAGAAATTTATTTCAGATAAAATTAATTAGAAATTATTTGATAAATAAAAATATTTATAAAAAAAATTTTATTAATAAATTTGTATATTTATAAATAAATAAATAAGTGAAATCCGATATAAAAATACACCAGAGAGAAAGAGTCAAAGAGAGAGCTAGAAAGAAAGGGTGGAATAAAATAGCCATGGAACAGCCACAGTGGAGAGCCGGACATGACAAAGATAGATAAGGAGAAAGCTACTATCTGTTTTCGTGGACAACATTCACCTTATGGGTAGAGAAGCAGAACTGAGAGATCTAATAATGCAATATGGAAGGGTCCTAGTTTACTACATATTCATAAACAAGAAATGGACAACGCGCAGTAAGTTTGGTTTTTTCAGGTTCAAAGATCTGAGAGAAGCACCGGCAGTATTCAGGGCACTAAATGGGACCTTTTGGCAGGGATGGAGGCTGACGATGAACTAACAAAGTATGAAAGGGATGCAAAAAAAACAGTGCAGTCACCAAAACAGAAATCAGACAAGACAAAAGAAAAGTTGTTGCACTAAACCATACTAGTACAGAGAAACGCAAGCCAACTTGTACTGAAATAATAAGGGGCAACAACTGCAGAAACAATGAGATAGAAAGTAATAGAGGAAGAGAAGGTAGAAAAGATGATGATGACAAAAAAGATCGTGATAAAGAGACAGAACCACAGAAGTCAGTTATGTTTGAGTGGAAACAGGAAAACCTTGATTTGGAATGGCTTGAACAGTGTGCAGTAACGGCGGTAAAAAATCAGCAGGCAATAAACTTCCTATAGCAACAAATATTCAGTCAAGGGGTTATGCACTTCTTAGTTACCTTCATGGGGGGGTAGTATGGTGTAACTACAGTTTGAGCCGAGAGGAAATGTTGGGGATGCTTGAAGATGGAAAGGTGTTGTTAAGTGACTGGTTCTTCTGGACTAGGCCGTGGAATCCAGAGATACAGCCAAGTGACAAGTTTGTTTGGATTAAACTTGAAAATATCCCACTGCATGCATGGAATTATGGCCTATTTAGTAGAATTGGAAGCACTCGGGGAACTTTTATTACCGTCGATAATAGTATGATGAGAAAACGAAGATTGGACGTAGCAAGAGTTTTAGCTCTCATCAGAACAGATACTTAACTCCCAAGTTACTTGCAGATAGTAATAAACGGGAAATCATATCATGTTAAAGTAACGCTGGAAGAGGGGTCAGGTTTCTTATGGAATACTGGGATAAAACAAATCAAAAAGAGTCAATCAACACCATCGTCCTCGTCAAGTTCAGCTTCCTCAAGCACAGAAATGGAACTCCAACTGTGCAGTAATGGATAGTGCAACGATGAAGGAGGTGAAAAGTCGGATCTGGGAAACATTGACAGACGAGCAAGTAGTGAGATATTGGAAAAGGGTTATACGGCTGGAGGAGAGTTAAGTCAGCCGCAAATTTCAAACAGCGTGCAGTCGCAAGATGACAGTGGTATTAATTTTGGAAAACAGGGAAAAAAACCCGAGTCACAACACATGAAGACAAGCACTGACTGATGATATTTGGGCTTTAGAGGAAAATTGGGCTGAAAAAGAGATGGAATTGGGCGTTGAACTAAGCCCAAACTGCACAAGCAAGATGAGTGCTCAATACAAAGTTGAAAGGCCGAGGACCCAATGGAAAGATGAAAATAACGACGAGAGACTGGACAAGAATTATGGGGACCAAAAATTGCAAAGCTTCAGACAGAGTTGTCGATGGCGGAAAATATTATTCTTCATAGTCAGAAAGGGGAGCTAATACATGGCAGAAAGGACAGAAAAAATACTGGTAGAAGAAGAAATGATACAAAGCCGAGGGAAAAAGGGCAAACGAAGCAAGAAGGTATTAAAACGAAGAGAGGGCTGTGGGCAAGATACAGCCATAGGGAAGAAAGCCTTGAAGACACAGTATTGGGAGGAGGCTGATTTAACTGATGAAGATATTCGAAGCAGGAATAGGGTCCTTAGAAGATAATCAGAGAAAACACTTGAAGTGGTCAAGCTGCTAGGCCTATCAGTAAGAGGAGACGAAGAAGTACTGTAAAAGCTAATAGAGATAGAGGCGGCAGAGGAGGAATGGGAAGGTAATTCTTAATTACTTATTCTCAGTAGGAAAAATGGTAGAATCATGGGGTTTTTATTTCTCACAATGAAGATTATTTCTGTAAATATTACAGGAATTGGAAGGAGTGAAAAAATGAGACCTTTAGGACGATAATGTCAAAAGAAAAACCAAAGTATTTTTACATAAGAAACCAAGACCCATAAAGTGACTGACAAAACAATTAGACAACTATGGGAAAGAAAAGGAGTAAAGTTTACCCAAAATGAACCAAATGGAGTTGCGGGGGGATTGATATGTATGTGGGCAGAGGAGGATTCACATTCATATCCTCCACTTGTAGAGAGAGGTTCATTTGGATCAGTGGTAGTTTCACAAATAAATCTGGCACTTTTAATTTATGCAATGTGTATGCCCCCTAATGATGTATACGAAAGCAAAGTATTTTGGTAAGAACTAGCTGAAGTAAAAGCAAGTAGCCCAAAATTGTGGTGCTTTGCAGACGACTTTAATGCAGTGCTAAATGAGGAGGAAAGAGTTGGGATAGCAGATATTGCCAGATCATCAACAGACTTTGCAAACTTCATACAAGAAGCAGAGTTAATTGATCTTCCCCTAGCTGGTAAAAAATTCACGTGGTATAGGAGGGGAAAGAATCGCAATGAGCAGACTGGATTATTCCTTATCATACAGAACTGGTTATCGCTCTTCTCAACGATCAATCAATGGTGCTTAGAATGCTCTATATCTGACCATATTCCTATCTGTCTGGGAATTGAAGCACAGGATTGGGGACCAAAACCGTTTAAAATTTTTAATCACTGGCTTAAGAATGAGGAGTTCCATTGGCTGGTAGAAAATAAATGGAGCTTATACGAGGTGGAGGGATACACAGGTAACAGGGCGATGCAAAAGCTCAAACTTCTGAAGAAGGACATCAGACAATGGAACGATCATGGGAAAGGAGATATGGAAGCCTCAATAGACTCACTAGAGAAGGAGATAGCATTGTGGGAGAGAGAGCATGAAGTCAAACCAATGGAGAAAAGCATCAACTTGGCTATAGTAACAAAAAAAGAAATGTTATGGGGATTACAAAGAAAGGAAGAACAAACATGGGGGCAGAAGGCAAGAGTAAAGTGGATACAAGAGGGAGATAAGAACACAAAATATTTTCACTGTATTGCCAACAACAGATGGAGAAATAATTTCCTCAGCTACATATCCCACAGAGGCAAAAGATTTAACAACCCAAAGTAGATTGGAGCAGGGGCAGAGAATCATTTCCAAAATATGTTCAGAAAATTTTCAAAGCAATTGCTCTTCATGGAGGAATTGGAAACAAAGAAGTTAACTGTGATGGAACCCCGGAGGCTAGAGGTACCATTCACAGAAGAGGAAGTATGGAATGCAGTTGAAGGATGTGATGGAGATAACGTGCCTGAACCGGATATATTCAACTTCAACTTTATAAAAGGGAAATGGAGCTTACTAAAGTCTGATATACCGGATTTTTTGGAAGAGTTTGAAAAAACTGAAAAATTGGCAAAAGGTATAAATTGCTCCTTCATTATGTTATCAACTAAAAAACAGTGCTACAAGTCCCTAAACGGACTTTCGTCCATTATCTCTAATCAGTAGCTTATACAAGATAGGAGCAAGAGTATTAGCTAATAGATTGAAGCAAGTCATCTGCCTTTGTGGAGGGAAAACATATTATGGACGGTGTTCTTATTGAAAATGAGGTGATAAATAGTATGAAAAATCGTCAGAGGGGGGTATGATTTTCAAGCTTGATTTTGAGAAGGCTTTTGACATTGTTGACTGGAACTTCTTAATATCAATAATGGTAAAAATGGGTTTCAACAGAAAATGGATTTCATGGATATGGGGGTGCATATCAACAGCATCAGTGGCTCGCTCACCAGACTAATACTGATGCAAAAGAGACTTGACAAGCTGATCCGCTCTCTCCACTGTCATTTCTGATAGTAGCAGAAGGATTAAGTATGATGCTAAGAAGGGTGGTTGATCTGAATTTGTTTAATGGAATAAAGGATGGGCATGGAAACCTTCATATCTCACACCTACAGTTCACAAATGTTATGATTATCTTCTGCAAAGGTGATGTGTGACAGCTAAGGCAAATAAAAAGAATCTTAAAATGCTGCCAGCTAACCTCTGGTCTAAAAGTGAACTTCTTTAAGAGTGCACTATATAAGATGAAGGTGGAGCATCAATTAATGCTTAATTGTGTAGAGATCCTTAGGTGCAAAATTGAAACTCTTCCACCAAAATATCTAGGTCTTCCTCTTGGAGCAAACCCAAGATTGGTATCAACATGGAAGCGGGTGATTAATTCTTTTAAGAATAGACTGAGCAAATGGAAAGGCAAACTTCTGTCAATATGAGGTAGAATTGCTTTGATAAAATCTATTCTCATAAACCTTTTGATCTACTATATGTCCATTTTCAAAATGCCTGCAGGTGTCAGAATAGAGTTGGAAAAAACCCAGAGACAATTGCTAAGGGGAGACACATATGAAAAAAGAGAAATGAAGATGGTTTTATTGGGATACGGTCTGTAGAAGTAAGAAATTTGGTGGTCTGGGAATAATAAGCCTTGAATCGGGTAATCAGGCACTGCTGTTGAAATGGCCATTGAGATTTGGCAATGAAAATCAAGCTCTTTGGAGAGAGGTTATCTGTGACAATTGTAACATGCCCCATGCGACTGTTTGGCCGGATCCCTGTTCTATTTGTTTCCTCTCTATGTGGAGTGACATTCAAAAATAGTTAGAATGTGGGAGATTTTCCAACCTCATAAAATCCAGTTTTTTTCCTTGTGCAGGTAACGATTCCAGAATCCTATTTTGGAGTGATAAATGGCTCAACAGTCTCATATTGAAAGATGTCTATGCAAGAATTTATGCAATATCAGGAAATAAGGTTTGGATGATTAACAAATTTGGAGAATGGAGAGGGAACAATTGGGTTGGGCACATTCCTTTGAGACAAAAAGTTTTTGACTGGGAGAAGGAATCGTGGTGGCAGCTTATGAATCTTCTCGGTAAAGTCACACTTTCAAAACATGGTCAGGATAGATTGATATGGGCGCATGCGATAAATGGTGAATACAGTCCAAAAGCTTTCAGAACAGAGTTCATGGAGCTTGTCAACAAAGAGATACCAAGAGAGAGCCAAATTTGGCAAGGAATTGCCTCACTGAAAGTGGAACTTTTCTGCTGGAATGTGCTGACAGGAAGTATTGCAGTTATGGAAGTATTACAAGCAAGGGGGTGTTTGAGAGGAGTAGAAAACAAATGTGTCATCTGTTATAAGGCCAAATCGATAGAGCATTTCTTCCTCTACTGTCAGATGGCATGGAAATTTTGGTGTAGTTTTTGTCAGAGACGGAACACCTATTGGTCAATGCCAAACTCTTTAAAAACTCTATTTTACGCTGTTGTTTGGTCCATATGGCTAGCTTGAAATGAAAAGATTTTCAACAAGAAAGAGACGACGGCTGATGAATTGATGAATTTAATCTGTACCAGGCTTGGTTGGTGGATGAAGGCTAAATTCCCCAACATTCACCTTAGTGTGCTGAATTTCATGGAAAATCTTGAATGCCTTATGATTCCAACTCAGAAGAAAACTAAGAGACAACTAACAGTTTGGTCTCTTCCACCTGCAGATTCGTGGAAGATTAACGTTTTGGATCAGTTTTTGGGAAACCTGGACTGGGAGGTATTGGTGGAGTAATAAGAGATTGTAACGGAAATGTCAGGCTCATGTTCTCTAAAAGCATAGGAGTGGTTGACTATAACTTAGCAGAACTTCTAGCAATTCAGGAGATGCTCTCAATCATGGTGAAAGCTAACAGTTCAATACCAGAGACTTTGGTTGAAAGTGATTCAAAAGTGGTAATATCATGGATCAACAAAGCGGAGCAAAGGCCATGGAACTATGACGTCTTCAACAAAATCACCAAATCTGGTAGCTTCAATCAAGAAGATTTCTCTGTCATGTGCTTGGAGAAGCTAACAATTTTGCTGATAATCTTGCTAAACTGGGTGTTTTTAGAAATGCTGATTTCGTAGCTAGGATTTTGTAACAATTAAGCGTCTTCCTTTAAAATTTTTAACGATTTTTTTAAAAAAAGTGGAGTTTGGTATAATAAAAAGATGTAAGAAAGTTGCACGGTATTATTGGCATAAACACCCTATAGGACTAAAGTAGATTAAGAGCGTTTTTATGGTTATGTATATTTAAAAGGACTAAAGGAGAATGAAAAGGTCCACATAAGTATGATGGATGAGTACATATGAGTATTTATTTGTTTAGGTTTACAATACTCTATAGGATTAGAGAAAATTAAAAACGTTTATGTGCATTGATTGTTGAATGAATGATTGAGATTATAGTTTATAATTCTCTATAAGTAGTGAACTTTTTCTCTCATCTGTGGATATAAGTGAATTGGACTGAATTACGTTAAATTGTTGTCTTCAATGACAGAACCTTTAAAAAACATGGCCCCCAAAAATTTTAAATTTTTTTATACAAATATTATTTTTATAATAATTTTGAAATTTTTTTTATAAAAACATTAGTTTCGCCCTTTCAACCTTAATGTTATTGTGTTGATATATACTATTCTTTATTCTATATATTTATAATTGATATATAGTTACAAAAGTTATTTGTATCTAAATATTACAACTCTTAATTTAAAAAAAAAATTGCTTTAATTTGTGTTTACTTATTATAAATAATTTTCAATTTAAAATGAATAATAAATTTGTCAACATTATATTATCATAAACATGTAAATTTAAGTTTAATAGATATGCAAGTATTATAATAACTAAAACTGACTTGACAAATATCCAATTGTGATTCTTTTTTTAAATCAATATTTTTACTGCATGCTCATTTTATTTGAAAATCGTTACATGTCAAAATAATTAATATGATTAATTTAATCACATTTTCATTTTTTATAATGTAAAAATATCATGTAAAAAATTAGAAGATTTTAATTTATTGTATTAAAGTCTTTACTTTATTCTTTTCAAATTTAATTTATTTAAAAATATATTTTTTTATGATTTTTCATTTTAATACTTTAAATATTAAATATGATAAAATAATGTGTTAATATTGTAAAAAATATAATGATTTTATTTTTATAAAGAAATTATTAGTGATTCATAATTAGAAATCATGAGACCAATTGTTTAATATATTCATTTTGTTTTATATATATATATATATATATAGCATACTTATAATTATAAGTTTTGTTATTATTTATTTGTATTTATTTTTTATTATTAATAGATTTGATATATTTTGAAAAAAATTATTATAAAATATTATTTTGGCCCTCACAAAATTAAAGATCAAGATCTGTCACTGACTGTCTCTTGTGTGATTAATTGATCATTTGATTTTACTTCCACTAATTTTGATGTTTGATTGTATTAGGGCTTTTTTAGCCTAACAATTAGTAATGTAGCTAAAGGTTCGAAGTATAGGAAGAGACAAACTTAAAAAAAATCGATTTAAGAGAAAAGTTCGAGTTCGTATTTTGAAGATCGATTTGTATGAAGTGTGAACCCACACAGAGAAGATTGTTACAAGACTTCCATTGTGACTGGAATCAAGCATGTCTAGCATGAAAATTAAGAGTGATGAAATTTGAATCAATGTGAAGATTGTTGGGATTGACTCAAATAATATAAAAGATTTAAATAGAGATTTATTCAAAATGAGATTGGTTATATATTATTTGATGGATAAAAAAACTTGCAAAAGAAAAATTCTAAGAGGAAAGAAATTCCTGATAAATAAGTTTATATGCTTATAAATAAGTGGAGTTTCAATAGGGTTAAGTATAATAAAAAAATGTAAGAGAATTGTAGGATTTTATTCGCATAAACACCCCATAAGACTAAAAGAGATTGAGAGTGTCTTTATGGATATATATGTTTGAGTGAACTAGAGAAAAATTAGAGCATTTACATAGATATAATGCATGGATGCACATGGGTATATATTTGTTTGGATTTAAAATACTCCATAGGTTTAAAGGAGATTGAAATAGGATTAGAAGATAGTGAGAGGGTCTATGAGTATTGATTGTTGAATGATTGATTGAAATTGCATGTTTGTAATTCTTTACAACTAGTAAATCTTTTCTCTTATCTGTGGACGTAAACCGGTTAAGTTGAATCACATTAAATTACAATCTT